GAGAGAGAGAGAGAGAGAGAGAGAGAGAGAGAGAGAGAGAGAGAGAGAGAGAGAGAGAGAGAGAGAGAGAGAGAGAGAGAGAGAGAGAGAGAGAGAGAGAGAGAGAGAGAGAGAGAGAGAGAGAGAGAGAGAGAGAGAGAGAGAGAGAGAGAGAGAGAGAGAGAGAGAGAGACAGAGAGAGAGAAACAGACAGACAGAGAGATGAAAGAGAAGAAAACTACATGAAAGAAAGAAAGAGGCTGATGTAAAATAACTTGGCATATCTACACTCACACACGAACATCAATCTCTGGACTTAGTATAAGCATCAAGGTCTGTACCAGCACCTATTATAAAACTGCTTAGCTTAACTGTCTCAATGCTAACTCAGCATAATGCACTTGGATACTACTCTTCTTCCTACTAGCAACAGTGTAAGATATAAACATCAGTTTATTTTACTTACAATTATTATTTATAATCACAGTATTCCACCTTATTGCCGTTATCATACAATCAACTGCTAATAACAATAACAACATTTAATGTTTAACATTTAAACAATATTACTGCATTTTCCTTTCAAATATTATTCTCAATTCATCGTATTCCACCTTACTGCCATTAACACATTACCATTCACTAAAAGCAACAATGTGAACAAAATTGAAGAAATGATGACAATCTTGAGAATGCAAATACAGCAAAACCTGATTCAGACTGGCTCTACCACACCATCAACATATCAAATTTGCTTGTCTGTCTCCAAACGCATAAACAAACAAATAAAATAAAATGGCAATTCAGATAATGTGTTCATAATGATTCCTTTCTCCTTGTACATCTATTTATATAATTTTCTTATAAGATAAGCCTTATAATGAAAGTCATGTCTTTGTATGGACTGAAGTCTACGATGAAAATCTACAGGTTATTAGTCACCAAGAATTTTAAAAATTATCAAAATCCAAGATTTTTAGACTAAAACCTACACTTATTGTGGTACATTTCCTTCTTTGTCTTGTTTTAGCCACATTTCATGAATAATGGTTGTCCTTATTTCCAATCTCTGAATCTAATTAAAACACAAAAATGAGATGTAATGGCATTATCTAAATAAGCATAATACATAATATGGATTTTCCAGATCTGTCTAATAGTTTTCTTCTGTCAGTTTATTTCCATAGTTTCTTAGAATATTGTGTGTCAGTTGATAATATATGAGTGGAATGACATTCTACTTCTGCAAATTCCAAGAAATATGCCAAAAGTAAAGTGTACCCTCATTCCCACATGCTCACCTGAACACTACATCATTTAGCAACATGTTCACACAAGATCACTCAGGTAGAACAGTTGCCCTCTTTTCATTCTTTTCCAATAAAACCAAGTTAACTCTCCATGATTATAAGCTATATAAGTAATCATTGATGGAAATGTATATATAAAGCCGTGTACTGGCACCTTTTTGCGTAACCTTGACTTTTTTTAACACAATAGCACAAAAAATGCACACTAACGTTCCCCATCACTTCCTTGTTTCAACGCCATGCACTTCGCTGAAAATGTTCGATCCAATCAACAAATAATCACATATGGAACAGGAATGCGATCCCAGTCCTTAGATAATCTTTCTGAACGTCAGTTGGAACACGACCTACATATCATGCACGGTTCTGTTCATGACCGTTAAACGCGACGGCCAACCGCACCTGAAACGGAATATCGCCAGCGCTCAACTTCTCCCCCGTACCTTCAGTCACTCTTCCTCTCTGTGGCAAGTCCTCGGGAGTCGCCGAATCTGCCATGGCCTGCACTTGAAACTCCGCCATGTTGAGAGGCAGACGAGCTCGGGTGGCCCTCGTTCTCCCTGCCGCATCCAGCTCGCTCCTCGCCCCTCCGCGTGCACTCGGGGCTGCCTCTCCCTCTGACAAGTGACAAGGGAAACGGTTTGTTGTGACACGCTCTCAGCCTCCCTCCTCCCTCGTCCCCTCGCCCTGCCCCTCCAGGCCCTCACGCCCTCCCTCCTTCCCCCTGCCCCTTGACCTCCCCCCTGCTTTCCCCAATACCCAGTGCCCCCCTCCCTACCCTCCCCTACCCCCGAGGAGCCGAGCCGCCACCGGAGGTCATCGCGCATCCGCCAACCCCGACGGACTCTCGTGGGAGGAGCTTCGTTGTTGTTTTGGTGTTCCTTTCAGCAGAGGTCAAAGTTCACACGGACTGAGTGCCCAGGGTTCGTGACGTCACGGCGGTGCCACCCTTTTTAGGGGTTGGTTTTGCGGATCGATTTGGTGGTTGGAAGGGGGGTGGTTTGGTGGAAGAGGGAGAGGGGTATA